GGTGAGTACGTTGTACTCACCCTTGCTTCAAACCCCTTTTTCCAGAGTTAAATTGAAGTTCTTGCCGAAGCCAGGAGTTCAATCATATAAGTTAGCATTATTTCAACCTAGTTTTCAAATCTAGATTAGTTAGATGGTTTAAGTCTATAGCAAAATATTAGAGTTGAGACACTCTATAGCTTCTGCTGTAATAGTTAGCCACAATCTTGTAAATTCCCCTATTAATTTATGTAATAACATCTCCTTTGGAGCCTTGTTCAAATGTACGCAATGAAAATCCAGATTGTTGAAGCTGTATCAATCTACTGATCCAGGGCTTGATACAGTTAAACATGTCGGTTTCCGAATATTTAGTTTTGGGATCCGACACTGTGCCAATGCCAAAATTTGGTAAGGTTTTTTTTTGCATCAAAGTGAACATGCCCTATATATATATATGGAAAATTGTACCGTTTATCTAGACTTAAAGTTGATTGTTGCCAAGTTACAATTTATCAATGAAATGTTGGTTGTTTATTGTCAAGGAGTTAGAGTACGGGGCTACTATACATCAGGAAAGCAAGATTAGGATGTGGTACAACTCGCTAGTCATCTAATTAACCTTCCTTGGAACCAGGAAGCAAGGTAATTATGTAAGCAATTAATGAGTAAATGATGTTTATGCTGTGGAGCAATGTGTGTTGCGATGGCATGGAGCCCGGGCAGCTGCCTCCGCCACTGCTGCCAGTACACACTTTGGGTCAGTTTGAGTTTGGTACGTAAAGCTCCTCCTCCTGCTTCTGATTTTCTGAAAGGAGCGTTTCTGCGACTGAAAGTGATTCACTAGGTTAATCAGCAGAAGCCACTTCTTTTTACTAGCTCCGAAAATCACTTCACCGAATCAGCCTAGAGCCCAACAATCACTCCTCTGTAAAAATATCGTTTGGAAGCAGCTCAGCGAGCTGTGCAAAACATGCCGCCCAAATATTTGCCAATACACTACAAATTCTCAAAACGCATGCTAACTGAATAAGGAATGTAAAACTAGTTTCCCCTAAAAATTCTCTTGAAACCAGGTTTATTAAAAATAAAAAGTGACTATCATTTCAGAGCCTTAAAAGTCTTCTTTAAGCCCACAATTTGTCCTCATCGGCATGGGGTAGTTCGCTTCGCCTCCCACCCTCAATGACACGTCGGACCGCGATTGCCCCAGCTGCTGCTCATCGCGTTCAGCACGGCGTGGCTGGCACTTGAAAGGTGAGAGGGATTGGGAAAAAAATTGCAAATATACTTATTCTTAATAATTTACATTTATATACATACATATAAAAATATATCCGTCCCACGGAACGAAAACGCGGAATCGCGACAGTCCCGCAGATCCAAAACACAAAACCGATGGTCCCGCGGGACGAAAGCGTGGGACCGCGATAGTCCCACAGCTTGAAACTGCGGAACCACGATGACATCGAATTTTTTACCGCGTCGGCACTGTTCAATCACTGTTTGTACACTGTTTTGTACTGTTCATACGACGGTTCTGCGTAACCACAACGCGGGATCGTCGCTCAAACAGTGCCAAACAGTATGAAGCCGTGTCAAACAGTGTGAAAACAGTGCCTGCACAGTCTCAAAAATCGCTAGGCAGCACGGTGCACGCGGGACCCGCATTTTAGCGGTGCGGTACCACGACGGTCCTCCGCAACCGCCGCCGCCACGATGGCTGGATCCGCCGCCTCCGCCGCCACCGATGACAACAAGGAGGCGGTAGGGAGTGGCGCCGCCCTCCCCACGTGCGGCGGCCGCGGATTTGGTGGTAGGGGATGTGGGTGGCGGCAGATTCGGCGATGGCGATGGTGACGGCGACAACGGCTTCTAGGGTTTGGGTTCGGATTTTTTGATTTTATTTTTTTTGGGATTTTTATTTTACGTGCAGGTGATATAAGCACCCGCACGTGGAAATCAGATTTTTCCGTGCGGTCCACTTAACCTGACCACACGGAAAGATGTATTTTTTCATGTGGTTGATCGCCCGCATGGAAAAATATTTATTTTCCCAGACACCTGATGCAGACGGGTAAGATCTCTGTAGAAAAAACACTTTTTGAACCCACGGAAAAATGCTTTTCGTAGTTGTGTTTTACGCTAGTCGCCATGGGATGCAACGAACCAGGTAAGCAGCCAACAGTTAGGCTGTGTGTGAGGGGAAGGCTGTTTTCTCCGATAATTCCAAAAATTGGTGGCTAGTGGCCCCATCTTTTTGACACACGACGGGCAAAGAATTTGCATGGAAAGAAGCAACAATATTACTGCATCAGCACATATCTTCGCGCCTCATTAAACTTTAGTAGCACCTTAAATCCTGGGTTTGATTTTTATGGGAGAGAATTTTTTAGATTTTAACGGTTTTGTGCTTTTAGTGGCATGTGATGCACCCGTCCACAACGAGACGTCTGTAGTAACTTCGTCAGTCTTTAGGATTTATCAGCTCAGTCTTCAAAGATGCTCGTAGGAGTAGGGTTTACGTGCGTGCGTTTATAGGGGTGAGTGTACGTATGTTGTGAGTGTCTGTGTTGTACTTTATAATTATTTTAAAAAAGCATATATCTTCAAGCGGAACAATGTCATCAGCCATCAGCCACTTGCCTTTCTGTTTCTGGTCAACCAAAGTGGCCGCCATAAGCTAGCTCTAGCTATAGCATACTTGACCAAGAGTTATGGAGTATATAGCTGACATACATCCTGACAAAAGCAAGAGCATACATGGATGCAGGGTCGGATAAAGAAAACAATTAGGGAGAGACATATTTTTTAATCATAGAATTTATTCCCATCTTTTCTTTAAAAGGCTATAATCAATCATTATAGAGATTACATGGACAATGATAACAAGACATACTAGAGAGTGAAGAATCACCAAGTCCAATTCCGTACATTGTACTGGTTGAATTAACCATTTTCCATGTTTTGGAGGAGTAGTTTTGTTTTAATTTTTGTTTTGAATTTTAAAATAATATTGTGTATTGTTTTATATTGACTCGGAATTATTTTATTATTTCATTTTAATCCAAAGTTTAATTTAGTATTGTAGGGACTCAAGTTTGGTAACTCGTATTGAATTTCAATTGCTAATTTTACTTTATCTTCCATTTCTAATTTCAATTAATCTCATACTGTGTTTACATCTATTCTTCGTTCCACAATTCAAATTTCAGCTATTTATAAATTTTACTTTTACAATACTCTGTCGTTTAATATATTTACATTGTTAATAACATGTAGTACTCACTCTAGAACTACGGTTATAGATTTCACTCTATTTCGTTCTCTAGTTAATATCACAACATTTTACACGTTTTCAGATTATGGCCTTATTTAGTTGGAAAAATTTTTTGGGTTTGGTTTTTATATTGGATATATGAACACACATTTGAAGTATTAAACATAGTCTAATAACAAAACAAATTACAGATTCCGTCAGGAAACTGCGAGGTGAATTTATTAAGTCTAATTAATCCATCATTAGCAAATATTTACTGTAGCATCACATTGTTAAATCATGGCTAATTAGGCTTAAAAGATTTGTCTTGCAATTTACACACAATCTGTGTAATTGTTTTTTTTAGTAAATTGCGTTTAGGGCCACCGTTTATTACCAAAGCTTCACTTTATACCACCATTTAACACATTTTTTCACTTTGGGCTAGGTTACTTTACCTTTATTTTACTTTGGACCACCCCATAAACTTTTTAGGAATACATAAATGACTTTTCCAACTTTAAACACATCAGCAGCCCGTAACCCGGTAATATTTTCCAACTTACACAGGCAATTGTTTACAATATTATAGAGTAGATGCAGCTAAAGAAAATGACTTGGGCGGTCCAAAGTGCACCAAAGATAATCTTACCTAGTCTAAAGTAAAAATATGAGCTAGAGGATAGCCTAAAGTGAAACTTTGGCAATAAAAGGTGGACCAGAGTGCAATTAACTCTTGTTTTTTTCCTACATTTAATACTTCATATATATGTCCAAACATTCGATGTGACAGCGTGAACAATTTTGTTTTGTGACTAAGGGTGTGTTCGGACCCAAGGGTTCCCAACACCTCTCCATCGTTTTCCGCGTGCACGCTTTTCAAACTGCTAAACGGTGTGTTTTTTGTAAAAAGTTTCTATACAAAAATTGCTTTAAAAAATCATATTGATTCATTTTTGAAAAAAAAAGCTAATTTCTAATTAATCACGCGTTAATGGACCGCTCCGTTTTCCGTGCGAAGAAGATTTGTTCCCAACCTCCCCAAGCAAACACAGCCTAAACAGGGCCTAAACCTCGATGCGTTTTTATCATTTCTGAATAAGGTAACTAATAGATCGTCATAGTCTTCGTCAGACTTCTATCTCGATCGCTTTCAACGGGGCACATCAGCCTAGGCGGCTTTGGGTCATGGACATGTACAGGTAGGTGCAACTAATCATACATTTTGCAAGTTTTCATGGACTAGTAAAATAGAAAAGGTAAAAATGAATTAGTCTTGTGTTGGTACTAACTAACACAGCATTTGCAAACCTGTAAGCTACCGTAGCATATATAAATAATTGTTTAAGATTTATCCATGCCACTAAATAGTTTATTCCAAAAAAAAAAGTTACTTATGGTTAATCTTGTGGCAAAAAAAATTACTCATGATAACAAGAACAAATCTCAGATGCTCATTTGTTTATCCCATGATATTTCAGGTTTATATTGCAAATGAACTTTGTACCGCATATTGATCTCTTACTAACTTACCCATGCAGGGGCGGAGCTAGTATATATTAGGGGGTGCTCAGGAACCCGATAAAGAAAATTTTTTAAACTATACCTTATCTATTTTCACCGTATATGTACCCCCTTAATACAAACTTAGACATTTGTATTAGGTTAAACTTTAATCTAAAGTAAAGTAAATTAAGAGAGTAACACCACATTCTGTTTCGCTCTAGCTCTATCCCTGCCCATGCTTCACCTAGAAAAATGTTACCTTCATCGTCACTTGTGTTGTTTAAGTCTTGCAGCACGAAACCTCAAGGAGGAGATCCATTCTTTTCCTATATATAGCTACCCACAGAGAAAAACCTCATTGTCCTCCTCTCCACTACACTACACTGTGCACTTCTGCAGGTTGCAATGGCCACCATCCCGGAGGTGCCGGCGAGCGAGCTTATCCAGACCATGCCGCGCGTCGGCATGGGCACGGCGGCGTTCCCCTTCACCTCCTCGGAGGACACCACCGCCGCCATGCTCCGCGCCATCGAGCTCGGCTACCGCCACTTCGACACGGCCAGGATTTACGCCACCGAGGGCTGCGTCGGCGAGGCAGTCGCGGAGGCCGTCCGGCGTGGCCTCATCGCCTCCCGCGCCGACGTGTTCGTCACCTCCAAGATCTGGTGCAGCGACCTGCACGCCGGCCGCGTCGTGCCGGCGGCGAGGGAGACGCTCCGCAACCTCGGGATGGACTACGTCGACCTGCTCCTTGTCCACTGGCCGGTGAGCCTCACGCCGGGCAACTACGACTTCCCGTTCCCCAAGGAGGTGATCCTGCCGTCGTTCGACATGGAGGGCGTGTGGCGCGGCATGGAGGAGTGCCACCGCCTGGGCCTCGCGCGCGCCATCGGCGTCAGCAACTTCTCCGCCAAGAAGCTGGAGCAGCTGCTGTCGCTCGCCGCCGTGCGGCCGGCGGTGAACCAGGTGGAGGTGAACCCGATGTGGCAGCAGAGGACGCTGCGGGAGGTGTGCCGGCGGGAGGGGGTGCAGCTGTGCGGGTACTCGCCGCTGGGGGCGAAGGGCACGCCGTGGGGCAGCGCCGCCGTGATGGACTCCGGCGTCCTGCAGGAGATCGCCGGAGCCAAGGGCAAGACGCTTGCTCAGGTTGGTTGATATACTTATTTTCTAAATTTTGTAGGAGAAAAATTCATACCATATATACTACTCCCTCCAATTCCATTATTCTTAAAATTTTTAACAAGGAAAAAAGTCCAAATACCCCTCTAAACTTTGGATGCAAATCCACCTAGCACCCTAAACTTTAAAACCGAACATCTAACCCCCTAAACTTTGCAATACCATCTATATTACTCCCTAAGATAGTTTTGGAGAGTGGTTTTGCATATTTTGGATGTTTAAAAGAACAACTCTAAATAACTAATATAACATATTTACATATCATCAGTTGTAAGCCATCAATTTATCCTTATACTGTGATACCATACTATTATTATGTTTTTACTTGTTTGTAAGTGAAAGCTAGTAACCGGTAAAAAGAAAACTTTAAGTGAATATTTCAATATATATGTCTAATGTTTATATCTCGTGATCAAACTCAACCAACTTATATACAAATTACATAAAAAATCACTATGATAAAATAAATAAATAATTTTTTATTTTTATTATAGGATTTTGTAAGACAAATCTAAATATGTTGTTGTAGTGCTTTTAAAATAAATATTTAAAAATTATCGATAGTTAAAATTATAAAAGTTTGACCCAACCATGTTTAAAACGTCAAAAATTATGGAATCAAAGGATGTATATCAAAAGTGATCAAAACACGAAAGTTTAGAAATTAAATGAATATAAAATATTTAATTAAACCAAACAAAAAATCAGGTCAAATAAAGTTTCACTATATAATTACTCTGTCGTGCAGATTTGTTTGAGGTGGTTGTACGAGCAAGGTGATGTTTTATTGGTGAAGACATATAATGAGAAGAGAATGAAGGAAAATCTGGACATTTTCAACTGGGAGCTCACAGATGAAGAGAGGGAGAGGATCAGTCAGCTGCCCCAACTGAGGGGCCTGCCTGGATTGGAATTCATCTCTGACCATGGGCCTTACAAATCAGTTGAAGATTTGTGGGATGGTGACGTCTAGCAAGCTACTTAGATACAGTGGAGTATATATCTAAATAATCATGATGGATCATGATGTGGATCTATCTTAATTATGTGCGGCAGGCATGGGCACGGCACCATTCCCGTACACGTTCTGCGATCAATTAATGTATGGACCATACATGTATATTAATTGCTGTATACCTATCCACTTATTTAAAACACGTCGACACGTTCACGAAAAATGGTTACTCCCCTGGTATACATATATAGGTCCATAGATGATGCATTGCAAATTTAATTAGCTACCTAGAAATTTATTTAGGATGCTAAATTTAAGATGGTAGATTTAGTTTAAATGTATACGACTCTTGATCTATTTTTGTTGGATTTCACTCCACCCGTGGTTGGGAACTATTAATTAATTCCCTGGGTCTATAATGATTTTGGATGCATTCCCGACGAGCTAATTTCATTTCACTATTTTTGTTGTGATTTTAGATACATGTTTAAAATTTTGGGTTTATTTTTAAACCACCTATCTCCTTTACTTGCAGTTATTTATCATTCAATTAGTGAAGCATAAACTCATTCGATATTCTGATATTAATCAAAATTAATATTATTTAATTTCCTTTAGAAAGAAAACATTTCTCATTTAGGAAAATTCTTGTTTTTTTCTATTTCTACCTACTCAAGGTATTCATTATTTCGGTACAACTGTTGGAGCAGAATAACAATTGATTCGTATACAGGGAGCTTGCGCGTTCGAAAAAACAAATAGCCATGACTGTTAGAACCATCCACATCTTAGGTATGAGTGGAGTCCCCAGACCCCATCTCACTAGCCGATGGCGAGGATCGCATATCGTGGACGAACAGCATCCTGATCGTTGCCATCCCGGTTGGTGCGATTGTCGAAATTTCTAGGTTGTCAGAGGGAAATCGAATCATTATTTATATATTTCTTGATAAGATACTAAAAGATTTATATATATTTCTTGATAAGACAATAACAGATCTCGTCTTGGTCACAGCCTTGTGTACAAATCACTTTGCACGTGACATAGCTTTGGGCATTACATGTACAGTTTGTAATTAATCATTTTGCAAGATTTGCATGACTAGTAAACTAATAATAATAGTACAATGTAAATCAGAAAAACTGAATTATTGTTGATAATTCAACGTGATCAACTACTCAGCTACGAAAAATCAAGCCGATCGAATTTCTCTTTCATTATTTCTCCTTCATTATCGTCCCATGTGTTGTCTGCATTGCGGCATGCGTTGAACAGAATCCATTTTTTCTTTATATATAGCCACACACGTCCTTGTCTAGTCCACTACACTACACTGCAATACGGCAATGGCAATGGCGACCATCCCGGAGGTGCCTGCGAGCGCGCTGCTCCCGACCATGCCGCGCATCGGCATGGGCACGGCGGCGTTCCCCTTCACCTCCTCCGAGGAAACCACGGCGGCGCTGCTCCGCGCCATCGAGCTCGGCTACCGCCACTTCGACACGGCGAGGCTGTACGCGACGGAGGGCTGCGTCAGCGAGGCCGTCGCGGAGGCCGTCCGGCGCGGCCTCGTCGCCTCCCGCGCCGACGTGTTCGTCACCTCCAAGCTCTGGTGCAGCGACCTGCACGCCGGCCGCGTCGTGCCGGCGGCGAGGGAGACGCTCCGCAACCTCGGAATGGACTACGTCGACCTGCTCCTCGTCCACTGGCCGGCGACCGTGGCGCCGGGCAGCTACGACTTCCCGTTCCCCAAGGAGGAGATGGCGCCGGCGTTCGACATGGAGGGCGTGTGGCGCGGCATGGAGGAGTGCCACCGGCTGGGCCTCGCGCGCGCCATCGGCGTCAGTAACTTCTCCGCCAAGAAGCTGGAGCAGCTGCTGTCGTTCGCCGTGGTTCGGCCGGCGGCGAACCAGGTGGAGATGAACCCGATGTGGCAGCAGAGGACGCTGCGGGAGGTGTGCCGGCGAGAGGGGGTGCAGCTGTGCGGGTACTCGCCGCTGGGGGCGAAGGGCACGCCGTGGGGCAGCGCCGCGGTGATGGACTCCGGCGTCCTGCACGACATCGCCCAAACCAAGGGCAAGACGCTTGCTCAGGTTGGTTCCACTTGAAACATTCACTTTTTTCTTCTCACGTATGAAACACTATTTCAAAACGTCAAACACATATATGTTTTATTAGAATATTATATTATGAAATTTTGTTAAGAGGATTTAATATTAACGGTGCAATCAGATCTTCAATCAGATAAATAATTTAGAAAACAGTTGTTCACAGAATTTAAGGTAAGAGATTAAATGGGCATACCATGTTAATTGAGACTTCAATATTTAATTTGCGGTGCAGATTTGTTTGAGGTGGATGTACGAGCAGGGTGATGTTTTGTTAGTGAAGACATACAATGAAAATAGGATGAAGGAGAATCTTGATATTTTCGACTGGGAGCTCACTGAGGAAGAGAGAGACAAAATCAGCAAACTCCCCCAGCAGAGGGGTCTGACTGGAATGCAGTTCGTCTGTGACAATGGGCCTTACAAGTGCGTCGAAGATTTGTGGGATGGTGCTTAACATGTCGCAGGCTGGCCCTATGCACCAATAATCTGGATGGATCATGCTTGCTGGGGATCTAGCAAAATAATTTGTAATTCAATTTTAATCTTCTGTCTTCTCGCAAAATAATTGTGTGAAATGGAGCGCCAGATGTGCTCAATTGTTATCTTTCTTCTATTCGTAATCGATAAATATGGTATTTTCCAAAATAATATTGAAATTTCGAGATATTGATACCGAACATGAATACTTTTTTATCTAGCATTTCTTAAAAAGTCATCAATAGATATCATCTTGGTCACAGCCTAGGATGGTCGTTTCAGGTTGATGTATGAGTATTGCTGCAACGATTTTACCTGCCGCATTCAATTATTCTGTTCAGTATTAGCTAGTTATGAAAATGGAACAGAAACGGATGAAAATTTGATCTACCATGTTTATTTTCATTTTTTTCAGAAACATAATCAGAATTGAAAACTTGTATAAAAACGTAATAAAATATTATCAATAAAGATATGGATCGAATATAGAGTGAAATGAATACGGTAATGAATATCTCCCGGGATATAAAACTTCTCAAATTGAGCTTCCTTAGACCCCCGTTTTTATAACAGGAATTAATCGTGTAAACAGTACCATTTCCCTGGATCAAGTAGTCTGGTACACACGAACTTATAGCTGAAATATCAAGTGCACATACATGAGAGTCTAGTACGAATTATTACATCATAAGCCCGCAGGCACAGTCTTAAATCATCGGACCGAGCGGTCCGGAATACATTTCAAAAACAGAAGTAGGTAAGGCAGCGGAGTTAAGGCAGCGGCACGCTATTGCCACAGGCAACGACCGTAACTAAGACCTATTGAGCGCCATCGTCCTCATCACCCTCCTGGTAATAGGCATAGGGATCCTCCGAAGCTTCATCTCCGGCCTCTGATTAAGTTTGAATATTGCAAGGGTGAGTACCAACCGTACTCAGCAAGCCACCACAGCAATAATGCACATGACAGAAGAATTCAAAGGATGGCTATGGTTCTTTTGCGCAAAGCAAGTTTTGTAATTCTTTTCATAAGCCTAAAACCTAGCATAGACTGATCAAGTTTTAATACCAGTGTTCACATTAAACAACGACGGTTCTGTCCACCATCCATTGTGATCCCAAGGATAGCTTTCCGCCATTGAGTCGTCATGGTTTTCTGAGGACGTCCACATTCCCACCTCTCAGGAAGTGGCTCCATCAGCATAAAAATCATCATGTAATATCCCATCCCACACAAGTTAAAGAATTTATAGTCTAGCCAAGTGTAATACATGTCCCGGTACTCAATAACCGTGAGCACGGCTATTCGAATAGATTTGGTTTACTCACACTGTAGTGGATGTACACTTTACCCGCACTCTGCGACTGCCCAACACATGAGCCTCGTCCCAACACATGAGACGCGCCATGGCAAAGCCTTTTGATAACCTCGCATTGGCAGTACCCGCTCCATGAACTTAAATCCTCATGCACTCTAGGCGTCCATGTTTCTAGCAGTGAGAGGAGTTCTAGCGCTCCCGGAAAAGAGAAGTCTCACACACATATTAAATTATGGTTCAAGTTAAGTTCTCTCTCACACACTCATGGCAGTCCTACCAATGGCGACACCGATGTAGAGCATGCCTCTCGGCCCTACCTCAACGGCTGCCCCACCGTAGCGCGCCTGCCTCACTCAGGGGTGAACCATCTATGCAGGGATACTGCCTCCGCTCGGCTATCTAATCCGCTAGGTCTATACCCATTCGAGAAGTACGGTTGTACGGGGGTCGTTTCATGTTTAACTTCATGGCTCGGTCCTTAATTGACCGGGGACGGTACTAGCCTTTTCCAGATACCACCCAAATCCTCCGTCTGCCCCAGTCGAAAACGGTTGTTTTCATTTTATTTTCCTTTCCCAAATCATGTCATCAATTTCATGGCAATGTGGTGCTCATGTCTCCACATGCCGCATCTCAATTACCTTCCCAAAGGTGATTGCCCAAGCATTTAGCATTTGATAAATATGAGTATGCATGATTCTAGAATAGCATTTCTAAGCAATTGTCATAATTGACTAGGGACTCATACGTAAATATGGTTACGAAGGAATAAGGGGTAAACAATAATCAAGGCATGGTATAAACACAAGTAGAATGTTCATCATTGCATGCAATTTTATTTATAAACGAAATAATTTCGCAATTGGGATCAACGTGTTCAAGGGATAGTGATGACTTGCCTTGCTCAAAGTCTTGCGGTTCTTGGTCCTCGCTTGGATCCGCAACTCCCTCGGGCTCTAAAATTACGTGCGAAGAAACGATTTGAATTCGGTTAAAATTCAAATAAAGATCCAAATATACGTCTAAAATTCCTAGTGATTAAATCCGAACTTCTACAGTGAATCGATTACTTATAGAGATTATCCAAAACTAATCTGTAATAGTCTAAAAAAATTCATCTAATTGTTTAGTCGTTAATTACATCTAAACTACTACCGCGAATTGATTTTTTTAGAAATTACCAAGAATAACCTATAATTTATATTAAATTTTGCAATTCTATGACCATAATTAATCTATAATTAAATTCTAATTATTTTAGATTTTCTTGAACTATTAACCTCCTTAATTTCTTCCTAATTTTCTATTTATTGTTCCTTTTCTTTTCCTCCATTCTCTCTTCTCTTTTTCTTTCTTTTTCTTTCTTTTCTCTCTTTCTCTTTTTCTTTCTTTTCTCTCTTTCTCTCTTTTTCTCTCTGCCGGCCTCTCTTTTCCTCTCCCTCTCTCTCTCGGCTCTCTCCCACCCGAGCGGCGGCAGTGGTGGACGCGAGGGGGGAAGGAGGGCGGCTCACCGGCGGCAGCAGCGGCGACGACGGCGGCAGCGACGACGGCGGCGGCGACGGTGGCGCACGGCGGCGCGGGAGCGGCAGCACGGTGGCACGGGAATGGCGGCGCAGCGGCACGGGAACGGCGACGCGGCAGCACGGGAACGGCGGTGCGGTGGCACGAGAGCGGCGGCGCAGTGGAGAGGGAAGAGGGGAGGTAGGGTGAGATGGGGTGGGGGGGAAATGGAGAGAGGGGGGGTATTTGTAGAGAGGGGAGAAGGAGAGGGGGAGGGGCGGCGGCGTAATGGCGACGCGACGGCGGCGCTCGGGGCGGGACGACGGCGACGCGCGGGCGGCGACGCGATGGCAGCGCGGGGCTCGGAGCGGCGATGCGACGGGCGGCGGTGCGGGGCTCGAGACGGGCGACGCGACGGGTGGCGTGGGGCTCGACGCGGCGATGGGACGGCGACGCGGCGGGTGGCGAGCGTGCGGCGTGACAGGCGGGGCGACGCGACGCGCGCGGTGGCACGGGGCTCGGCGCGATGGAACGGGCGGCGCGGCAGCGGCGCAGGGCGACGGCGAGGGGACGGCCACGCGGCGGGGCGTAGGCGCGAGGGGACGGGCGCACAGCGGCTCAAGGCGCGAGGCCGACGGCGACGCGACAGTGACGGCGCGGCAGCGGCGGCGGCGCGCGCGACGGGCGGGCGACGCGGCGCACGCGGCAAGGGAGGGGGCGGGGCTAGGGGGACCACGATCGAACACCTATGCCGCAATGAACAGTAACTTTTCCTATTTATCCCGATTTTAGCCCATTTTCTATTTAAATATAGCCCTATAAATTCTAATTTTTGCATAAACAAAGTTTACTCCATATTTGTGTTATCCTAACTAAAAATTCACCCTAATTTAATATCACTCCTATTTTGTTTATATAATTTATTTGAATTTTTAATTAGGGTTAATTCTCATTCCATCGTACTAAAATTTAATTATTGCTAATATGGTCGTGATAATATTTTTTTTATTTCCAATCCCACCTAATCTTTATTTTAATTTATATTTTAATTATTTTTTTAGCCAACTTGATTTTTAGGGTTTATTCCTAGTTAGTTATTCATTATTCGCGATTAATAAATTCCGAGATCAAAATCCAATGAAATAGACGAATAAAATCGGCATGATGCAATTTATTACTTAAAAAGTTTTTGAAAATCCGTATTTTTGGTGTTTTGATTTCGTTGGTCGAATTTTCAGGGTGTTACACTTAGTTAGTGAAGACATATCGCTTTATTATTTTCCTACAACAATAGGTCAATATTTCTAAATTTTATATATTCAGTTTTTGTACGCGGTCCATCAACCATTTGCGAAAATCTATTTTTATATCCATCCTTTTAAGAGACCCATATCTAAACCTATACCTACCTATACCTAATAAAAAATACATAATGTTTGTGTAATTTTTTTTTCGTCCATCGGTATCTGCCTTCGATTCCTAATTCATTGCTGATTCGCGCGGTACAAAATCCGGACACGCGACATGGACTGTGAAGCGCCGCAAATCTATAATAACTATAATATAAATATTTAGATTTTTCCGGTCGTCGCCCCCTCTATTCGTTCGTATTTTCGTCTGTTCCTCAAATTCCAATCCGATTTCAATTTTGTGAATGATAAAAAAAAATGAAAAAAAAATGAGTCCGTCTTAAAAAAGAGCGAAAAAAATCTTCTCATTGTCCGAGCCCCCCCCCCCCCCCCCTCTTCTCTCTAACCGCTTCGTTTCGTTTGTGATAAGGGCGAGGAAGCGTCGCTTCGTTTCCAGCGGCGGATATGGAGTCTACCCACACACGAGAAGGCTCGGCCCACTAACTGGGTCACGTAATTAACGCTAATCAACTTCTTAATAACTTTTTTTTATTTAACGCAAATTAAATTCTTAATAACTTTTTTAAATAAATAAATAAATAGTTGATTGAAAGTTTTATAATATCTATCTCTTCTCTATCTATCAATCTATAATTAATATAAATATTTGTATTTTTCCGATCGTCACATTGATCCTAATTATCTAATACATCTTTTGGTCACTGTACACACTCCGTTCCGTTCATCATACAAATTTTCATCCGTCGCCTTTTGGGTAAAGACAGTCGCATTGTTCGTCTATCCATTTTCTCTCATGCTACACATCATCCAAACTAAACACCATATATATTACGCAAATATATAGCAGATTATTTATCCAAAAACAAATAATTTTTTTAGCAGATTAATTGTCTAAACCAAACAGTATACACACTCTGTAATCACCACCTGGTACAACGCACGGGCACTTTTACTAGTAATAAAAGAGAAAAAGAGAAAAATAGAAAGCTACTCCACGATATTGTACAGCACGAAGCAGCAGCAAATA